TATTTGTGCTGTGCTTTGCATGCTATCAACTCAGTCAAGATTGCTGACAAGAAAAGAATAGAGCCAACTCACTGTCCTGGACATAATGTTTTCAGTAAACCTTTTTGAGCCACATTGACTCTAATAGTAATAATAACAATTAAAAAAAATCTTTATATTAGGGTAAGCTGAAAGACAGATTTAAGAAGCTGAGCTAGGGGCCACCCACAGAAGAACTGAACAGTCAATTATTAGCAAGAGCATGTAAATGGGAAGTAAGCCCCAAGGGACTGATAAAACAATCAAGTACATTTGAACCAACAGCAATGAAGCTACGGCCATTAAAATACAGAGGTCATTTTTGTAGTAGATGCATTCTGGAAATATTTTATATACCTAAGTTCTTATGATTAGGAATCCTGCTAGTGTTTATGTTATCCAAAGGTAATGACTACAAATTGGGTAGTAATTGAGATTTTAAGGCTTAAACAGCCTTATTTATTTTTTCTTTTTAACATCTTTATTGGGGTATAATTGCTTTACAATGGTGTGTTAGTTTCTGCTTTATAACAAAGTGAATCAGTTATACATATACATATGTTCCCATATCTCTTCCCTCTTGCGTCTCCCTCCCTCTTACCCTCCCTATCCCACCCCTCCAGGCAGTCACAAAGCACCGAGCTGATCTCCCTGTGCTATGTGGCTGCTTCCCACTAGCTATCTACCTTACGTTTGGTAGTGTATATATGTCCACGCCTCTCTCTCGCTTTGTCACAGCTTACACTTCCCCCTCCCCATATCCTCAAGTCCATTCTCTAGTAGGTCTGTGTCTTTATTCCTGTCTTACCCCTAGGTTCTTCATGACATTTTTTTTCTTAAATTCTATATATATGTGTTAGCATACGGTATTTGTCTTTCTCTTTCTGACTTACTTCACTCTGTATGATTGACTCTAGGTCTATCCACCTCATTACAAATAGTTTAATTTCGTTTCTTTTTATGGCTGAGTAATATTCCATTGTATGTATGTGCCACATCTTCTTTATCCATTCATCTGATGATGGACACTTAGGTTGTTTCCATCTCCGG